ATTGTATACTATATGTTATATATTATCTACCGTATATTATATAATATACAATATGTATATTATGTTGTATATCATATGTTTTAAATTCTATGTAATATGTGTGTGTATATATATATATATATTCTACATTGTATGTCATATGTCATATATTATCTATTATGTATTGTTCATTTTATATTGCATTACATATTTGTATATGTTAAAGCAGATATTGAGCATAATATACATAATATACATATACATATATATATATTTATATTATACTATACTTTATATATATATAGTATATATATATATAGATATATACAGTATTTATGTAGTATATGTATAGTATATATATTTTAATAAATATATACCGTATAGTATGTATATACTTTATAGTGTATATATATATATGTATAGTAGATATATACACACTATATATTCATATTTGTGCGGCTGTCAAGTTTCAACACAGGCCGCATGTACTTTATAGATTGAAGTTTCGGTAAGTCAGGTGGGATTCTGGCTGTGTTTCTAGCTGCCTAGCGGTCTAGCTGCACCTTGTCTACTAGTAGATCTCTCAGCACCCTGCCGGACTTCACCCTAAATTGAGACTATGCATAACTCCAACTTCAACCCTGCTTCAAACCTGCAGCCCCTTCTCCAGGTTGCCCCCCATCATCCAGCGCAGCAGCAGTCCGAGGCGTGCCCAAGAGTGCAACTTTTCAAGGGAGTTCAGGACAGGTCGTAGTGCCCAACCCCGAAAAGCCCCCAAGAAGGCCTCCGACACTGTGCTTCTATTGCACCTGCCGCCGCAAGGTCAATGCCTACGCCTGCCAACGCGGAGGCTCTCGGAACATGGAGGGTTTCGGAGAGAGCGGGATCCATGAACGCGCGGGAGGCTGTGCTGGTTGTGTGAGTTCTGCAACGGCCACTCGCAGCAAAGGGGCTCTTGTCGAATCTTCCCGAAATGGGCCTGCACAAGTAAGCCTATTTGAGCCTTGAGCAACCCACACCTGGTCTCCAGGAAGCCCGGTTTGTTCGGTCTATGGAGCACCTGGCTTGGTGGGAGAATCCAGAGATGAGAGGAAGTTGGTTTGAGGGTTTTTGGCATTCGGGCTCAGGGTTCAGAGTTTGAGGTGTCAGGCTTCTGGCTTCACGTTTAGGGAGAATGCTGATGTTGATTGAAGTTTTGTCAATTTGTGTTCCGAAGGGTTGGGTTGAGATTCTGAGCTGTGGGAAATCATCTGCTTGGCCATCCGCCTGTGTGCCTGCAGGCATACATGCTGCCATTGTGTTGCTTCGGCCAGCCCACTGAAGATAAGAATCCATCAGGGGATGAACTCCTCAGTTTGAATGGCTCGGCTTCCAAGGGCCTTCCAAGCCGACACGGAGTTCCTGGAGAGGCAGGGCTTGGACATGAGCATCTCGGCTGCAGCCCCGAAGGAAAGCAGTGCAAGGCTTTCCTTGCAGTTTCCATGTCGACTATGCCACGATGCCCAGACCCTCTTAGCACGCCCTTCAAAGCTTCCGCTCTCAGCGCTTCTTCGTGTTGGGCTGTCGGCTCGTGTCTGGGATCAGCTTACTCGCAGGGCCCGGAGACTGCACTGCAGCCATGTCTGCCGTGCAGCATCTTTCGACTCGTGCTTGCACATCGTCATGCAGTTTGCCTTGCTCGCATCGGGTCATTGAATGCGGCTCCTTGCGCAAGCTTGAAGACATCATTCGGCCGGTGTGCCTGGTGGCGACCGTGTTGGACACTTGGCGCGATCCTTGCATTCGCTTGTGTCACACGTACAGCCTCTAAACGGTTTCAGCAAGTAAGTGGTGCGGTCAGTGGAGTTTAACCCGTTGCAGAGGGTTTTCTGTCTTTTTGCAGACTTCTGGCTGCAATCTATTGATAGTTTTTAAAGAAATCTACCTTACCCGACTTGCCCAAGAAGTGCGTGATACAGCTGTATCGACGCTGTATTCAAGTCGACCGACTGCAGCGGCTCTGAACACGGGACACTACCGACTTCAAATTTCAAATTTGTCAAACTCTTCCCGGTCGTGGGAAGATGCTTGTCGAATTGAGTAGCAGATGCTTGAGAGCCTGCAAACAGAGTTCCGTGGTTGCACACTTTGGGATGACGCGAACAACGATACGTGTGTTGTCAGCGCAAAGGCTGCATGAGCCGTCTCAGAGTTGCACAGGGCAATCTTCTTTGCAGCTCAGCCCGGGGTTGACGGGATTGTTTTCAGGCATTCGGTTAGTCGCTCACGTACCCGACGACAGTCCTCTTCCACGAGGCAGCACAAAACCGAGCTCCTTGTGGATGGCGATATTCACTCGGTAGAAGACATCCAGTTTGCAATCCGGGAACTCCACCAGATGCGGCACAAGGTGAGAACGCACGTTTTTGCCGAGCCAGGGCGGGAGCGAAACGAGAAATGGCACCAGTTCTTCTCGACAAAGGCTGTGTTTTTTCATCCAGTGTTGCGTAACTCAGCCGAAGAGGGAGAGGCCAACGACGAAGCCATCAGCCAGAAGTGTGCAGTCCTGTCAGAAGACGGTGACAGGGATTCAATTTCATTGATGGTGTCGGACATGGGATACTTGGACATGATCCAGCGGATGGGTAAACGGGGAGCTGCTGTTCTGGTCTTCGTTCCTGCAAGATGTCTGTCCGTCCTCAGAAACTACCGAAAGGCTGGTGTGCAAGTTATCGAAATTAAACCCAGGAATGAACAAGTCTTCACTGTCCGAGCCGTTTTACATTCGGATGGATCTGGCCGAGTGGAACTGACTAACCCGTGCTATCCGAAAGACATAACGGGAGACGGAGAGTTGTGCTACAATTTCTTAAGAGATCTGGGGTATGTTCAAGAAGAACATGAATATATTTGCCACGCTGCAGCTAAACTTTGGCATGCCAACCGCTTGGGTCAAATTACACTGTTTCCCATGCAGCAGGGGATTGAGGATATATGCACACGGGTATCTGCACGCAGCCGCGGAGAATGGCTACGACAGAATGGCGAGTGTGCACTGGTGCTCCCGATTTCTGCACGGGGAGGAACGTTAAGCAGGAAGGACATCAAAACATACAGTAGCGCAGCTGCAAGAAAGGTGTTCCGAGGAGGTGGTCCATTCATGATCCGCGACTCGGTAAACATGGTTGACCAAGCTCTGACGAAGCTGGGTTACTTGGACAATGGCATGAACTCAGATCTGGCCGAAGCCATGCTTGTTTTTGTAAATGCTGCAGAGAACCTCCACACCTTGCGCAAGAAACTCGATGCATTACCAGCACCCGGAGACACTGTTACAGACGTTCGAGATAAACTGCGGTATTCTTTCCTGTCGCACCTGTCAGGTGGTCAATGGCGCATAGCCCCCAAGGACGGAATGGTGCGAGTGTTGCTGAACAGGGGTGGTTTCCTGGCAAATGAAAAAGCTGCATCGGCAGCGGAAGTATTTTGCGCCATGGAGAACTATGCGAAGGAACATGACCTGCCAAAGATGAAGACGTACAATGGCTATGTCTTTCGCATTCTGAGAGCAGCAAACTCCACACCCAACAGTACAGGAACGGTTGAATTTTCGACTTGACGCCGCAGCCCACCAGACGAAGTGCAAGATTGCGGAGAAAATGCACACGAATCAGTCACTCATGCTGTGAGTCCTGCTGTGAGTCGCATGACGTATCCGCCTGCTAGCACGGATGGCAAATACCACTGACGCACATTTATGCTGCCCAGGCAACCTCCACGAATCTGCAGACGCGGTCTCAGCTTGGTTTCTGTGCCAGGAATGTGTGGGCTAGGGGATGCTAGGGGGAGAGCCTTCTTGAACACCCTATCAGCCCTTGAAAGCCTCGCGTTGCTCAAGGCCGAGATTGCAGAAGCAAATGCCTTTCAGGCAGCTGCAGAGGCAGCACAGGCACCACAGCCATAGCGTTTACATGTAGCATCATGTAGTATTGAGGGTTTTTATACGGGTTTCCTGTAGGAGTCCGGCTGGATCACCAACTCTCTGCGGAGCCAAGGAAGTCTGAACAGAGGACAATAAAGTGAACACGTTTCCGATAGCCGCCCGAGGTTCAAAGCCCTTCTACTCCCGTTGAGTACGATTGAAGGTTGTGTATCAAAAAAATCAAGACACGCTCAATGCCTTATCTCTACCCACAGAAGCATATGGTCGTGAGCATCACGGGACCAGGGCGGGAGCCAACTCGCAGGGAACAGGTTCCAGACGCGGGAGAGTTCAGGCTGTGTTCTAGTCACTAGCGAAGGCGCGAAATGCTCCAAGCTGTGAAACCGCCCGGGACGATTGCGACTCCATGGTTTCAAGTTACCCCTCAGCTTGGCATGTTATGTTGCACGGCGCAATTGCGAGGCAAATGTGCCTTAACCAAGCACGTGTTACCCTAAACCCTAAACCCTAAACCCTGAACCTTATTAGGTGCAAAAAAAGCGTTGTGCGTTGAACTTCCTGAAAGGCCGCGGGCCTGGCGCCAGAGGCTGTGGTGTCCGAGGCGCCTCCGCAGGCCGGCACAGAGACGTGGCAACGCGAGTAGATCTCTCCTTTGCAGCAACCAATCATTGGTGCCTACAACATGCTCTAAGACTATATGGCGTGCATCTCTGACTATCTGGCTGCTTGTGTCCGTTCGCTTGTATGTGATTCTTGAATGCATGCGTGCATGACCATCAAACTGGCAAGCCGGCGACCCAAACACACGAAGGAGCTTTGTGAGGAACTTTCAAATTCAGGCTACCCAGCGAACCAAGTGCATTCCAAAATTACTGGAACTCCAACATCTCTTTTGAAGCCTGTCGACCTAAGCCGCCTAACCCAAAGTGCAGAACAAACAGCAATTGATGCTGGTGTGCGTCAAGGTTGCTGCACATCCGAGGAATCACAGGAGGTTGCAGGGGAATGGTTCCTCCGCTAATGCCCAAATTCAATCTTTATGTCCATGCAACACACACAGACACATGCACATACGCACACAGACACTCTCTGTCTATATATATATATATATACATACATATGTATATGTATATGTAGATGTATATGTATATGTATATGTATATGTATATGTATATGT